TATCACAAAAATTATCCGAATATTTTGTCACCATTGCTGAGATTCACATGCTGATTCTTCATGTCTATGAGTGCCAGAATTGAAACTTCTTTCTGAACCATATTTATAAAAGTAATTTTTGAAGTTATTCTCACGTTGTTGTCTTGTATAACTGCAACAATAAAGAAAGCTTAAAAATGCTACCGTTTTAAATAAATTGCTGTCAGAGACTCAGCCGTATGATATGATTTTATCATAAATGCCTTGCCATTACATATGTGTTTAATACACACAATTGTGCCAGCCAAATATAAACTTAATTTAAAAAGTCAAGGGTCAAGAGGCAACTAAAGCAACTACTATTCACAAAAAACGGTAAATTGAAAAAAAAAATCAAAAAATTAATTCTTAATAAAGAACTTCTGTTTTAGATAGTCTAACTGGTTAGTAATGCATGGAGCTGGTGATGCTGTTTGTAGAGTTGTTCAATCATCTTCTGCTGAGTTCTTGGAGAAAATGTGTTCAGATTATATTGGCCATATCATTGATAATGATGCTGTTATCGTGTAGTAGCTGGGTTCACTGATGTCACCAGTGGTAGTGTGTAATATAGTTAATGTTCTTGATCACAATTGTATTTTAATGAAATAATAGGAAAAGCTTTAAAAACACTTTGCACACCAGTTCAGAACATCTGTGCTGTTTAGTCATGCAGACATCAAGAATCAGCATATGAATCTCAACAATGGTGATGATCATCAGACAGATTCATGTTGCATTGCATTCTGGGTGCACCAATCATAACTCATCCATGGCTCCCAGCATGCATTGCAACACGAATAAATGATGCAGCTGCATTGTCTTAGTATTTTCTTTTATTTTTACTATTTGCATTTATTTTAGTTATTTTTTGTTGTGACGTTTTACTGCCTTGTTTTGTGACGTTCAAAAATCACACAAAAATTATCAGAATATTTTGTCACCATTGCTGAGATTCACATGCTGATTCTTCATGTCTATGAGTGCTGTCCTAATTGAACTATGGCCTAATCCTGGTTTAGGCTAAGCCCTGTCTATGAAACCGGGCCTTGATGTCTTTTTTTATTTCAGTTGATTCCATCCAAGGCTGTGGCTGAAGTCAGTTGTAATTCTTTTCTTCAGTGATTCTGCTTGTTAACAGCAGGTGGTCATCACTAATGCTCAATCAGCACTTAATTAATCACATAATTATCTCATTAACTTTAACACTGCTTCAGTGTTACTTTAACACTCTTTTAGCGTGGGACCATATATGCTCCGAGCAGTGTTAATTTAACACTCGGGATTTGACTGACTTCATGTCTATGAGTGCCAGAATTGAAACTTCTTTCTGAGCCGTATTTATAAAAGTAATTTTTGAAGTTATTCTCACGTTGTTGTCTCGTATAACTGCAACAATAAAGAAAGCTTAAAAACGCTACCGTTTTAAATAAATTGCTGTCGGAGACTCAGCCGTATGACATGATTTTATCATAAATGCCTTGCCATTACATATGTGTTTAATACACACAATTGCGCCAGCCAAATATAAACTTAATTTAAAAAGTCAAGGGTCAAGAGGCAACTAAAGCAACTACTATTCACAAAAAACGGTAAATTGAAAAAAAAAATCAAAAATGCAAAACGTTGGCCCCTTAGTACTGGCCCTGCACGTGCAGCCCTTACTTAGCCTCCAGGAAGCCTTAGCGCTGTTTTATTGAAAATAATAAAGTTTGAAATCACCATTATTGAGGTAAGCACTTGCTTTAGTTGGGTTCCTGACCTGTGATGCTTCTGCTTTAGATGCTGGCAAGGACACCGAGTTGTCGGCGTTGATGGCCTCTTCAGATGTGCTGAAAGAGACCAAGCCACTAGCAGCAGAGGAGGGGCGCTGGTTTTCGTGTGTGAAACACACCGTGAATGAAAGGATGGTGGGGCATGTGTGCACTGAGTCGATGTGACACTGCTCGAACCCAGCGAAAAGGCCCCGCTGCTCCTCTCTTTCTTTCTCTTAGGAGAGAATGGAAATGGGAGAGCTGAGAGGAGAAGATTGCCGTGATGCTTCTGCTTTTGATGCTGGCAAGGACACCGAGTCGTCGGCGTTGATGGCCTCTTCAGATGTGCTGAAAGAGACCAAGCCACTAGCAGCAGAGGAGGGGTGCTGGTTTTCGTGTGTGAAACACACTGGTGAGATGAAAGGATGGTGGGGCATGTGTGCACTGAGCCAATGTGACACTGCTCGAACCCAGCGAAAAGGCCCCGCTGCTCCTCTCTTTCTTTCTCTTAGGAGAGAATGGAAATGGGAGAGCTGAGAGGAGAAGATTGCCTTCACTGAAGAAGGTGATCTGCAAACGGAGACAGGAAAGGCTCTAACTCTCGCAATGAGAGCACAAACCTTCAGTGGGTGCTGCCCAGGCAGGTGACACACTCACTGTGCCCGTCAGTCTCATGCAAGGACCACACTTGCGGTGCGACGTTTGAAACCGCACGTGCTGTTTGCTCTTTTGGGAAATTTGCTCAGTGCTTTTGAAGTGCCGGATGGCTGCAGGGAATCTTTCTCTGCCGGGGCTCTTCGACGGTGGTGAGCAGCTGGAGCTTCTTCCTTTGGCTTCCTTGCAGAGTCAGCGAAGAGATCCTCGTCACTGAAGGAGGATGGTCTGATGAATGGCACTCCGAGCCGACTTCTATAGTGGTCAGCTCTGCCCTTTCTGGCAGGCTAGAGCGCCATTGGTTTGTGCAGCTACACAAATGTGAACAAATCAGGCTTCAGTACAGAGTAAAACAGGAGAACCCCCCCCCCATGCATTTACACGCAACGGCTGAGACTGTTCAAAAGGGAATGTTTAGTTACTTTATGTAGATTTGTTTATTTACATTATAGTGTTTAGTGTTGACAACAGTGAATTCTACATATAGCACACATACATCACTCATTCAAATGTCTGTTTCATGTTGTGATGTGCTCATATGCAATTATTTTAGAAAATGTTCTTGTCAGTTGATAAATAGACATTTAGTAATTGTCTTTAAGGTGTATGGTTTATGTAAATGCACGTTGGAGATGTACGGTGCTTACTGGAGCTCCGCTGTTCGCTGTACATAATAAAACGTGTTTTTACAGCAAAAATACAAATATACTGTAACGTTATTGTCTACTGTTTTGTTCACCTTAAGGAATTTAATAGTTTACTATACAGTAGCTCAACAAATGCAATTTTAATTCAAGGAACCGTGTTTTTGGTTTGCAAAACTCACATTTGTAAACACCCTTGTGGCTGTTCTCCATCATGTTTGATGATGACGTATCCTCTTGCGTGGCCTCCTTGGATTGAAAAGTGTCCATCGATGAGCACTTCAGAATCTGGAATGAAGCAGTAGGTCATCCGGGGATTTCTCACCTGTTCTTTTATGAATACTGCTTTTTGCCTACTATATACATTAGTAGGGAAGTATGCCATTTCGGACACATCCATTGTGTTAGATGAGTACATAGAAAATACAAAAAGTAGCTTTAGAAAGAAATATTTTGATTCAAAATAGCATAAATAGTGATACGAGTTGGATATTAATGGGTTTTAAAAAGGACTACTGAAATATGAAATGATTTTTGAAAACAATGAAATGACAATCAAAATATGAAACTTTAACCTCCAGTAGGTGGCAGCAAGTCACTGTCTTAATGATTGAGTGAGTCATTCATTCAACCAACTCCTTCAAACTGATGATTTAAATAAGGTCATTGTAAATATAAATTATTTTCTGTGGCCACAGAGGAGAATCAGAAATTGTGGGTCACATTCAACAAACAAATGACAACCAAAATGTAATCTCTGGGAGCTTGTGAACAGTTTTGTAGCATTTTAAAATGCTGGCTTGATATGTCACTGATATTTCTGTACTAAGATGGTGATGCTAAAAGGCATGCAGATGAGCCCAGAATATTAACGCAATACGTTTAATTACACGTTAAACATTTTCCTCTCTTTAGAAAACCATAATAAAGAAAACACTTAAAATGGCTTATACATTAAGACAGTTATATTTAAAGTTCATATTTTCTTTTTCTGCACATAGTATGCTTTATAAGGTGCAAACAGAATGTGGTCTTTTAATATAACCATCTCGGTGCATTAAGCATTTTCTTTATATGAGAGGAACGCTTAACGTGTAAGTAAAAAAGTTTTCTCTAAGAAAGATCATCTGAGTTACTATTGCAATTCTTGATGCAGCATGAATGACATAAAATTGTGACATTTTTCACAAGCACGACAGAAAAATCAAAATACTGCCCTAAACTCAATAATGGAAAGGCAGTGCAATCCTCCCAGTATGGTGGATAAACAAAGCAGGTTCCCAGAAATGAATGCGCAGTGACATCAGCTTCACATTCTCTGGTATATTGTGTCTTAAATTTCACATATTATTAATTTTGAGTTTATTGAACTATTGTATAAAATCATTATCACATTTGCAATCGTGCAGATATTCAGGGAAAAACAATACTCTTGCTGAGATTGATATTGCTAAACTATATCATACTGTATATAAACCCTTATGTGTTATTTTTTCCATAATTATTCACGCCAGTTTAAACGTAAAATAGACCTTAAGTAGACATATTACTTTTATTAAGTGTTCCATATGAAGAAATGTTTAGAGATTATCAAAATGTTTATTTGAAGCATCAGTTTTTGCATTATAATTAGTCAAACCTGAACACACATACATTAAAAGAGAGAAAAGCCATATCTATGTGGGGTGTGTATATGCTATATGCTGGGGTGTGTCCTGTTAAAAACATGAGCGAAAAATCTAGCCTTAAACCTATTGCACAATTTTTTATCAATCTTTTCGTAATATACGCATATTACGAAAAGATTGATAAAAAATTGTGCAATAGGTTTAAGGCTAGATTTTTCGCTCATGTTTTTAACAGGACACACCCCAGCATATATAGAGTTAATGTTACTAAACTTTGTGGATGTGATACGTTCTAAGATTGTATGCTGTCATTCCAGTATCTTTAATTGTTTTCCCATATTCTTTGCATCTATCTGATCTTCATGTAGTTCCTGATTCTGACACACTAATAAAACCAAATGTGAGAAAATGTGTTTGTTTCATACCCTTCTGACATTTCAGAATGCACACACAGTACACAGACACACGTCATCAAATACTATGGTAAGAGTCCCATTTACATCAACAAGGAAATATGCGATGCAGATATAGTCTAGAGTTTTCTTTAGGATATCAGTAGTTAAGGATAAAAGACTCGAGTTGTGTTTAAAATATTCACGAGTCCTTCTTGTCGTCAAGTCAAGTCAAAAGTCATTTCAGTTCGAGTCTGGAGTCAAGTCTCAAGTCTTTCAAAATGCATCTCGAGTGCAACTTGAGTCCAAGTCTCTAACTCGAGAGCCCATTTCTGGTGTAATCCAACACAGAGACACTGAGGAATCAGGAGAAACTTTAAAACCAGCATAGGGGGGTTCAGTGAATGTGGTGTTAAATGTGTGTAAGTGTGTGAGTGTGTGTGTGTCAGAGACACTGTAGAATGACAGAGTGCCGTCCAACACATCCACATACACTCCTACTCTATTAAAAAAAGGTGAAGGGGTAGAGATGTCAGTGAACTTATTATTGTGCCATACAGTAATTCCATCATCAGTACAGATCAGACTCCATGATTTCTCATTGTATCCAAACCAACAGTCACCGCCTGCTTTCCTGCTGATTCCTTTATATGTCACTGATATTTCTACATTATCTCTGCTCCATTCAGCCTCACAGTAACACCGTCCAGTCAGACTCTCTCCACACAAAACATGAGGAACCTGCTCAAATCTCTCAGGATGATCAGGATATGGCTGATGATCTTTCACACGAGTCACCTTTCTGTTGTCCTCAGACAGGATGAGTTGAGTATTCGCTGTGTTTGGGTCCAGTGAGAGATCACAGGCATCTGAACATAAGAAGAAAGAAACATCTATAATAACAAAACAATAGTCACTGAAGACCTGTGTGCCTGTACACGTACACTTTCGTAGTCCTGCTGTCATCATGAACTCTCCCCCATGATCCACACTAAAAACACACAAACACACATTAATGTAGCTATATATCATGCACACACAAGTTTAACGTGTCAGTGTTTGACATACTTGAGTATCTGCAGTGAGCAGTTTGGATCCTCCATTTTGTGGTTGAGCAGCTGGACTCCTGATTGTCCTGGGTGATTGTAGCTCAGATCCAGCTCTCTCAGGTGTGAAGGGTTTGAACTCAGTGATGAAGACAAATAAACACAGCCTTCCTCTGTCACCATACAGCCTGACAACCTAAAGACACACAGTCAGATCATTTACAGACACACATCAACATCAAGTCCAACTGACTGTACATTATCTCTTGTATGCTCTTAGACACCTTAGTATCTCCAGCTGACAGTTTGGACTCTTCAGTCCATCAGAGAGTAGTTTCACTCCTGAATCCCGCAGGTCATTATTACTCAGATTCAGCTCTCTCAGGACATAGTTTGAGGATTGTAGAGCTGATGACACAATTTCACAGGACTGACCAGTCAGATTACAGCATGGTAATCTAAATGAAACAAATAAAACAGACAAATGAAAAGTACTTTGAAAACACAATATTAGCTCATATTACACAAATCTCCTAATTTTTTAAAAAATAATTTAAACTTCTAATTTTCTTTCTAAGTGTGATTGACCTTTGATAAACTTATAATACAAGTGAAATCAGATATTTTTATTAGAAAAAATAAATAAAAAGGTTTTATTCTGCCTCTCTTTGGCGTACATTGTGATTATCATTATTGCAATAGGAAGCCATTCAATGTGATAAAACCCTTTCAAACCAAGGTCCTGATCATCCTGTCAGTATTTATTTTGAGATCATGATTAGATGACTGTACATTGCCTTACATATATCTCATGAAATCTCCCAAAAAGATGAAAGACTCAATGTGAAAGTCAAACCTCAGTATCTTCAGCCGACAGTTTGAACTGTGCAGTCCATGAGAAAATATCTCCATTCCTGAATCCTGCAGGTTATTGTTACTCAGATCCAGCTCTCTCAGGACAGAGTTTGAGGACTGTAGAGCTGATGATGCAATTTCACAATGCTGACTAGTGAGATTACAGAACCGCAATCTAAACAGGAAAATAAAAACAAAGCAATTACACACAGATTAAAAATAAGGACTGAAATACAGTGCATTCAGAAAGTATTCAGAAAGTATTTTTTGTCACATTTTCGTGTTGCATCCTTATGCTAAAATTCTTGAAAATATTTTTCAGATTTACATACACCATAGAGACAAATTAAAACAGATCTGTGATAACTTTGCAAACAGAACATTTTAAAAAGAACATTCCCATTGCTTAAGTATTCAGACCCTTAACCCTATGAGGTCGGCGAACACGCTGGCGTGTTAATAGAATGAACATAGATAACAGAGTGAACCAAAGAAAAGAAAGAAAAAGGGCGTAACCTACAGATAGACAACCTGCACTTATGCTTCCATATATCATGAACATGGCATACTGTGAGCATTTAATTAGGTTTGGACACTCTTCGAGTGCAAACCAGTGGAGCTTGTGAATCTGAATTCTCTTGCTTGGAACTGTCTGTGTTTTTTTTGTCCATTTTTTTAATTAAGCATCATGTGGCACTGCAGCACATGGCCTTGCTTAGGGTTCAGGCGAGATCATAGGTATGGGCATGGTAGTGGTAGGACAGTATGATTCAGCTACTTGTAGAAGGTGACGGTGGTTCCTTTCATAGGTCTTACCATTAGACTGGACAATATAATTGTTGGGTTGGAGGGTCTTACAAATGGTCAGTTTTTCAAACCCACAGGTCGTTTCCATCCTTACTGTCTCCCCAGGCTCTATGTCTTATCTTTCTTTTTAGTCTGAGTGCAAACAAAGCTGCGTAAACATTAGCCTCAACTCTCGATGTGAGCCGAGTTGGTACCATGGGGATCAGAGACCTACTGCGTTGGGACCATAAACACCCAGGGCATGCCATCCCTGGGTGTGTTGCGCAGGCTGAGCAAGGCTGCATAAATGTCAGAACCATCATGTGCACACTTCTCAAGGAGATGCTTTGCAGACCTGACACCACACTCTGCCAAGCCATTGAATCTAGGAAAATGGGAACTGCTCGCGACATGCTGAAAATGCCACAGGCTAGCAAAATTCTTTCTTCTGTATAGGCAGATATTTGGTGAATGCATGTGACCCATGCTTGGATTACTTAGAAGGACTTTAACCCAGATCTTTTTGACCTGTATGTTTTGAAACTATTCCTTATGTTATTGGACATTTTGGCTGCAAGTCACTGTGAATCTGTGCCTTCTTCAGCTCAGCTTTTGATGCTTGCTTTGTTTGTGCTTATTCAAAAATGGCTTTAAGTAAAGACAGTTTGTTTTCCTCAAAACCTGCCTCTTGTGATTCTCTGCAAATTTGGGTCCATGGTGCTCCATAGTGTAGTGGTTAGCGCTATGGGCTTTTAGCAACACACTCTGGGTTCAACTCCTATTTTCACCAGTTGTAATTGGGTGAAAATAGGAAGTTAATTCCACACTGAAATTGGTTTAATGTACATTGTAAACATGTATTATTATTTTAAATTGTAGTCAAAGCCCTGTAAAATTATCTATAAATTAACTACTCAGCTGTTATTTTAAACATTGTCATTAATAACAAATTACAGTAATTAACTTTTTATACAGAAACAATACTGTATATTTATACAGTATTTTTTCTGTTTTCTTAAATTACATACAAATGTATGTAAAATTACAAAAATGATCTGCAAGTAATACAACAAAACAGCAACAACTCACAAACAAAAACCATTCAAATTAAAGTAAAATCTACTTATTTATATAAGCTGAAAACTGTTCTTTTACAGATATTTCCTGAATTATGGTCAAAAACCTTCACTGTTTAAAAAAAAGGTAAAAATGATCAAATTAAATTTAAGTAAATCTCCTTATTTAAATAAGCTGGCATCACTGTTAATCTACAGGTATTTCCTAAATTATTACGATCAAACACCTTCACTGTAAACAAAAAAATAATAATTAACGCACAAAAAAAACCACTAACATATCTTTTTAGATCTCAGCATCTTCACTTATTACAATCCAGTCTGAATTTATTTATTTCATACAACATTTCTTATTAAGAATTAACTGATGTTTTCTTGAAAATAATAAAGTGTATAATAAGTGTTTGGTTCAGTTGGGCTTCTGACCCTTGACTTTTTATTGTCAGTTTTTCTCTGGCTTCCATCTTAGAAACATTGCCAAGTTACGAAACATGATACCTGTTTCTGATGCAGAAAAGCTAGTTCATGCATTCATGACCTCTAGACTGGACTACTGTAATGCACTGCTAGCTGGTTGTCCTGCATCTTCAATAAACAAGCTACAGATCTCTTTATGACCACATCAAAAGGGAGACTTTTCAGATGCGTACTTCAACTTCGCCTCAGCACCAGGCGCAAGTCAAACGAGCGTGGAAAGGAACATGTGCCAAATGAGCTTCAGTTGAACAACAGTGATCTTACGGTCTGGTGAAATGTAGGCTATATGTCAGTAAGACAAACGTTCCTGTCCTGACAGCTGTTTTACCGTGCTCACGGCACACTCTTCAACTTTACGCAAATATAAGGCGCACGCTCTATATCGCTTCTTCATAAATAAAGCTAACAAGAAACTTTGAACATAAATGTAGTTCTGTCATCAGTTAAGCCATGAAATTACCAAAAAGGCGATTAATGCATTCATGTATGTACAGCATCACATTAAAGAACGTCTCTCAAATGCATGTACTAAAATATTGTACAATTCAAGATCACAATATAAGGCACAAGCTGATGTTTTTTTTTTTTTTGTAATTTAATGCACAAGTAAATATGAACACAGTAGAAAACATACACTAGAAAACGTGCCCTATGCGCTTTTTTTTTTTTACAAGCGAAAATGAAACCATTTAAATGCATAAAATAACACATTTTACATTCTGGCATTTATGTGCTGTTGACTTCCGGCCTTTTTTTCTTTTTCCTTTTTCTTTCTTTTACTAACCAATTCTTATCACTATCTGCATGTCTCATCAATGAGTATGCAATGATGGAGAACAAGCTTTTGGGGGTTTTAAGAACCACAACCAAGCTGACTGAGCAATAAAACTATAGTAATCCCCTTTATTAAAATACCTGGAGGTGGGGAATAATACACACATTGTTATATTCACTCAGCATTACTTGATCTAATTCACAAATATCTCAATTACAGTTTAGTAGAAATTAATTGTATTCAGTTGTGTTTTAGGCACTAAAACACTCCAATACTTTATGGTCAATCACATTTTTATATTGAAATAATGAAGATTGAATATAAATGAAGAGGGGCCAGCAACCCCAGACTGGTTGCTGGCCCCTCCCTGGCCACCCCTATAAAAACATCCTGGCTCTGCCACTGGTGCTTACAAATTAGCACAAGCCTACATGTATGACCCTACTCCGTACACCACGGCATTGCAAGCCCTCCAAGACAAATATGGGCAACCCCGTCAACTTGTAGAGAGTGAACTTGAAGCTATATTGAACTCTCCACCAGTCAGAATAGGGATGCTGAAACATTTGATAACTTTGCGCATTCAGTACACGGTCTTGTGGGCATGCTTCGTTCTTTGGAGGGTGAGAATG